GATGAAATCGCGAAGCGCGGAGCAGTCGATTTCTGTGCTCACGATTTGCATGCACGCGTTGAAGGTCACACCTGCACTCACCGTGAGAACCTTCTCGCCGTTGCGAGTGATGCCCAGCGGCTCTATCTCTCGCATTGCAAACACCGACCCCGCCGGACACGCTTCGTCCGCGCCCTCTGGGACGAGGCAGATTTCTCCGATCTTCTGGAGACTTTCCAGCACAAAATTCTGCACCACGTCGCAGCCAAAGCCAACGAGAGGCGCTAGGAGCTTGTTGGTCAGCGCGTTCACGAGCCAATCGAGTGCATCCTCAATCGCGTCGCCGATCTTGTCGAAAGCGCTGCAAGCCTGATCACCAAGCCATCCTACCCCCGCCTCAAATTTTCTCTTGGTCCATCTCGTCGCCTTGCTGAATGCACGTTTGAGACCAAGCTGGCGGCGGGAAAGCCCTTCGAGTTCAAACATCTCGCGTCCGGGAAGAATGAGCGTGTCCATGAGTTGAGTGATGCCGTTCGTGTCGAGGGACTCGCCAAGCGGGGTGACAAGATCGCCAAGCGCAGCCATATTTGCCTGCGTCACCGGCTGGAATTCAACCCACAGATCGTCGTCATCGAGCTCGTTGTCAAGGCGGTCCTGAATCGAGAAGACGCCGACACCCGGCATCTTCTTGTGGTTGGTCTCAAGGAGGAGCATGCCGAGTTTTACTTCGAAGATGCGCTGTGTCTGCGGGGTGTGGGGGGTACGGGGTCAGGGAAGCAGGGCGAGGGGTGGGCGCTAGTGTATCAGCCGCGCCTTTGACACGTTGGCGATGTCCAACGCCCAATAGGAGTCCTCCGGATTCGAGGTCGGTTGAACGCCATAGACGGATACGGAGCGCCGGGAGGACCAGCCAGTGATTTGGAACTCGACGACGGCGTCCTGCAGACCGAGGCGAAGCTTCGTATAGTCTTCGAGTTCTTCCGCCGACGCCCGCAGGAGCTCGCGGGCAAGCTCTTCGACGTCGACGTCCGCCTTGTACTCGGCGGCCTGCGTCGAAACCGCGGCACCGTTGGCGTCAACGAGCACGCCGCTCGTGTCGGTCGCCGCCGCAGTCGCCACCGCGCCGCCATTGGCGTCGACGAGTACGCTTGTCGTCGCGTTCGAGCCGTCGCGGTGCCACTCCATGGCCGCCTTCTCCGTCTCGTCGTCGGGCGCGACCATAGGCTTGACGCTAAAATCGGCGCTGGCAACCTTGATCGCCTCGCCGGTGTCGGACGAGACAAGCAGGCCGCCGTCGCCAACCTTTGTGTCCTTGACTGCATAGACGATCCCCGCGGTCAGCCCCGCATTGATGCCGACCGAGGCGAGCAGCGCGAGCAATAGCACGAGCGCAAACCTCCGGAAGACCTGGGAGATCTTGCGCTCCCTTGCGGCCTCCTTTTGGGCCTCCTGCTCCGCCGCCGCCTTCGTGGCAATTTCCTTGGCGACTTTGCTAGCTTCTGCCGCGTCAATGACACCATCGTTGTTCGTGTCGAAGCCCCGCATCACCGCCGACGAGCTCCTCATCACCTCCGACGGGCCGCCGCCGGACTCTGGCGGCGACGGCGGCGGCGAGAAGACCGGCGGCGAGAGGGCCGCCGTGCGGTTGCGCCGCCAGCGCAGCTGCCGGAGCACGAGGTCGGCCGTGGCAGCAAACACGCTCACGGCGAAGAGGAACGAGAGAGGTATAGCACCCTCCGTGAACCACGAGAAAGTGGTGCTCGACGCAGAGGATTCCACGGGAGCCGCTGCTGCGCCGGGGAGGCACGCGATGGCTGCGGTGAGGCAGACGGCCCACGCCACGCCGCGCCGAGCCCCCTTTCCGCTCGCCGCGGTCGGCCAGGAGGCGACGCAGGCGATGACGAGGAAAATGAGCACGATTGCGGGCATGAGAAGCGGCGAGCAGCTCGCGAGCGAGGACGCCTTCGAGGCGACGGCGGGCGAGAAGGCCGAGGACGCCGCCGAGGCGACGCCGGATGAGAAGGCCGAGGACGCCGAGGCGACGGCAGACGAGAAGGCCGAGGCCACCGCCGTCGGGCTAGGCACGGCGGGCGCGCAGTGGCCAAAGGTGGGGATGCAGACGAGGAGCAGCCACCGCAAGGCGCCCTCGGCCTTCGTGTAGCCGCCCCGCACGCAGTCGGCCGCCGCCTTGAGGGCGGCGCCACCGCCGGCGCCGCATGTGCCAGCGACGGCGCCGCTCGTGCCAGCGGCGAATGGCGCCTTGCCGGACGTGGTCTGCGGCTCGCGGCGCCAGTTCGGGCGGCGGCCGCCGCGGCCGCGGCCGCGTCCGCGGCTCTTGCCAGTCTTCGGCTTGCGCGGGCAGCGCCTTGCCTTGCGCCGGCACTTCCCCGAGCGCCGCGACTGCAGGTCCGCCCACTTCTCCCGTTGCTCGGCAATGAGATCGAGCGCGGCCTTCGCCTTCTTGAGCCGCCCCTCCCAGTGCTCGCGCTCCTTGGCGGCCTCGGCCTCAGCCTGCCCCGCGCCCGCGACCGCGCCAAGGGGCTTGGGCGCCACGGGCGCAATGCCGCCGGAGGTGGGGACTCCCGGCGACGGCGACTTCTTGCCGTCGGCGGGCGTAGCCTGGTAGACGACGCTCTCGCCCAGCCGGCGGACCTCGGCCTCAACGCCGTCCGCGTAGCCCGGTCCGGAGCCGCTGCGGGCCGACGCGGGCCCGCTCTTCCCCGCCGCCATCGGCGTGGGCAGGCCCGGGTAGCAGGTGGTGTCCTGCAAAGCGCGATAGGGGCACACGGGAAGGGAGATTATTACCGGCGGGAGAGCGAGGAGTGCCAGGAGAGAATGCTGCGGCGCGCTCACCGTTGGGTCGGGCGTGTTGGAAACGGTCTTGGCCGGCTTCTCGACCTCCTTGGCAGCCTCCTTGGCGACGGCCTCCACCTCGGCGACGGGCGCCTCGGCGACGGGCGCCTCCTTGGAGGCGGACACCTTGGTGGCGGCGGACTTGATGGTCGCCTCCTCGATGGTCGCCTCCTCGGCGGCGGCGGCCTCTTCGGTGGCGGCGGACTTGGTGGCGGACTCCTCCTTCACGGCCACCTTCTTGCGCGCCAGCAGCCCGCGCGAGACGCGCTGCATGATCTTCGCAGCGCGCGGCTCCGCCAACCCGATCTCGACGCTGGTCAGAAACACCGGCTTGGAGGCGTAGAAGCTGTCCTCCACGACCATTGACCGGTCGGCCCACTCCTGCGGGGTACACGGGAGAGAGAACAATACGGGTGGGTGGAAAGCTAGGAGTGCCAGGAGAGAACGCTGCGGCGCGCTCACCGTTGGGTCGGGCGTGTTGGAAACGGTCTTGGCCGGGTTCTCGACCTCCTTGGCAGCCTCCTCGGCGACGGCCTCCTCGGTGACTGGCGCCTCCTCGACGACTGCCTCCGCGGCGGCGGACACCTCGCCGGCGGCGGGCTTGATGGTCGCCTCCTCGGTGGCGGACTCCTCGGCGACGACGGCCTCCTCGGAGGCGGCCTCCTCGGTGGCGGCCTCCTCCTTCACAACGACGTCGTTGTTGACGCCGCACGCCTGCGCGAGGGAGAAACGTAAATGTTTGGAGACGGGGACACCGCAGGGACAATGCCGATCCTGGCGTAAAAGTGCGCACCTCGCTCGGCGGCAGCGTCAGGCTCGCGCGGCGGCGCTGATACCACTCCTCATACTCCGCACTGGAAGCGAAGTAGCCACCGACCTTGACGGAAGCCGTTGGCCCGAGCTCGGTCTGAACCTGGGCCCCCTCCGCGAAACAAAAGCTGATTGGCACCTTTGCGAGGCTCCGATGGAACACGTGGGGGTTGTCGAACCAGACGCCCTTTGTTGATCTCACAACCAAGAAAGCCGACTCGCCCTCGCTCTCATTGAAGTCGACCATGTAGCGCCTCTCGGCGCGCGTCCTGCAGAGCAGAGAGAATGGGGCCGCCCGTGAGAGGGGTGAGGCAAGGCGCCTGCATTGGTCGGAACAGCTATGCGCATGTGTGGGGTCTGAAATGAGAGGAGAGTGACGGGGGACAAAGCTCGGACGTTGAGCCTGCGGAGGGCGGCGTCACGAGGGAGCGGGCTAAAGTTCATGTCGGGCGAGTGTTGCAGGCGACGAGGGCCAGAGAATAAAGAGAGGCCTTGCGGGCGAGGGCGAGGGCAAGGGCGGCGGTGTGGTGGTGGTGGTGGTGGTGGGTGGGTGGGTGGGGGGGGGGGGGTGGAGGCGGAGAGGAGGCAGGAAGGGGGCGGGGGCTGCGGCGGCGGCAGTGTCGACGGCAGGGCGGCGAAGGCATCGGTGGCGGCGGTGAAGGCTGCGGCGGCACATTGCGCGGCGGAGGCGGCGGCACAACGGCGGCGGTGGCCCGGAAGTGGCAGCAACGAAGCGGCGGTGGGCGAATCGTCGTTCATAGCCTGGCCGCAGTAGTCAGGCACGCACGGCGACGCGTCGTTCATTGTCTGACGAGGCGCGCGGAAGGGATGATGGCGGCGCGGTATTCCCGGCCGCGGGTGGGGCGGTTGCGAGCGGAGCTCCGGTGGCGAGGAGAAGGCGGACTGTGCCAGAGGGAGAGGGGCGCGGGGAGGACTACTGGCCTGCACGAGCGCCTGATGCCGATCAGGCGAGCCTCTGCTGGTCGAGATGCCCGGCAAAGATGCCAGTCAGGCCGACGATGGTCATCGAG